TGGTAGTCCTGAATATATAGGGCCCTGAGGAACTCACTTTGCCTCATTATCATAATTTTTAATTCCTTCCCTCATGCCCCTTTGACTCGAACTTTCAGCATTTCTAACCCTTTCACCAGCCTTCATGGCTTGCCCAAGTCTTGAGAGAGAGAAGAGTGTGTAAGGTGCCATTTGTGTAAATCCTTGTCCATTTCTTCCTTCTTTTATCTTGGACAGCCAGGACCGGAGCCAGAGGTGTCTGTGAGTCCTGTCCTGTCTGTCCTGTGCCTCCTACTCAGGGTCATCCAGCTCACAACCCCCTGAGCCGCAACTCTTGATGTAGCCAGTTGCTCTGACTGCAGGTGAACTGCTTTCATGTATTGGTATGTAGAAAGACTCACCTCTGCTGCCTACATTTGAGTATATTTTCTTTGTTGAAATTAGGTAAGAAAGAAAAAGTTGGCAGGCTCACCCAGAAATAAACCTGTTTTCAATTAGGAGCTGCATTTGAAACTTTTACAAACTACCAGATAATGTGTGTTGATTTTAGGGGCAGTTGAATGTGTGTGCACAGTTAAGAGTACCATGAGAGTACTGAACCTATGCACTTGTGTCAGAGTGTTTCCCAAGTCCATAGAACTCCAGAATTCAAATAGAGAACCACCCATCTATCCAGCCAAAGATTTTTATGAAAATCATGAAAATGGCACTATGGTTTTGGGGCTTTAATGGCACGTGACCAAGTTTAAATCCCTGCTCTTGTTCCAGTTGGATGTGTGAACTTGGACAAAGTATTCAAGTGTTGTAAAGTTTATTTTTTGCATGGGCGAAATGATAATAAAAGTACCTATTACTTCCTCATAGAATCGTTACAAAGATTAATGGATATAAATAAGTGTAGTATGAACATTTGAGCAATGAATATTAACTTTTCTTGAGACAAATATATAGTCACATAATCAAGTAAAACCTGGTGGGGGGAGAGATCCAAAGCCAAGGTTTATTTTGAAGCATAGCTTTTGAGTCTGTATTTTATGTCTTTTAAAATACATTGTATTTCAGTAGAATTTTTTTTTTGAAGGTGTTTAGTGAGAGTGTAATCATTGTATGAGGCAGGGATTTTCTAATGTTATCATCCCCTTCTCCCTGGAAGACATGATAAAGTCAGTCCTCAGTCCTGATGTGAACACCACCCCCCCATCCCTCACCATTTTGGTGCTCAGAAATTGTCTTCAGCTTTTTAAAAAATGATGTAAGTTACATGTGTCACTGCATGTCACTTTTATTTTTTGGTTAGTTATCTCTAAAAAAATAACATCAATGAGTCAGAAATAGCCATTTTGTGAAAACTGCATAGCTAGACAGATTTGCGATCCTTATCAGGGTGATAATCCATCTATTATGGAAATGGATCAATTTGTAAATTAAATTGACTTAACTACAAGGGAAAAGTCAGGTCTTGATTTTTCCTATAGTAAGCATTTTCTCAAGTGGTAGTCATCCTAAAAAGACTTGGGAAAACGCACTTCTTTGCTGTTCATCCTCTTTTTGCTCAATGCAAGAAAAAAAAAAAAGGCTAAATGTCCTAAAAATATGAGTAGAGTTTTAGCTTTTAGGTTCATTAAGGGCCTGATTGCTCATAGAACTTTCCTTTTCATTAGTATAAAAACCTTGCAGTCACTATCAGAACATTGCTTATACTCATTGTCTAGTTTAGTAAATATGATAACTATGAATTATCATCTGCAGTTAGTTCATTTTACTGTTATTTTCATCTTGTCTGATCAAAAAAATCTCCTGATAATTCTCCTAACAATGTGTGATTGGAATAATAACTTCACATGTTGAAGGATTCTGTGCTGCAGCTGAGAGGCATGTAAATACAAGCTGCTTATTTGCAAGAAGCTTCCAGATTTGCAATATGATTGCTATGGAAACCACATAATGAAAACCTTATAACCATCTGTGTGGTTTGATGGATTTTACTGCATAGCTGAGCTGTTTTTGTTTACTGTTATTAAAATGTTGAATGGAATATATTAGCCTGCAAACATGTACTATTTGAGGTATTAATTAGTATTATATAGTGACATAGTACCTCAACACCAAAATAAAAGATGTTTAATAAATAAACCTAAATAAAACAACCTCTGAGTCTATTTATATCTAATATACTGTCAAGGTGATTATTGCCTAGCATGTTGGTCACTTGTTTCATATATATTTTTTGAGCGGTGTACAGAGGTTTCCTCTGTTAATAAATGATACAGTGTGATTAAGTTTCATTTTTTTATTCATTTATTCAGTGATTATTGAACATCTCCCTATACCAGATTTTATTCAAGATTCAATCTGAGTTTTTCCCCCCTAAGGTTAAAAACAGGCACATACAGCAAATTTGATTTTATTATCTTTTATATGGAAGCTGTTTGTATTGTTAGGCTAAGATAAAATGAACTGTTTGATTATTGTTAAGAAAAATTGATGTATGAAATGCATAAGGCATTATAACCTAAAAATACCAGTACTAGGTTTGAAATAGAGAAAGGAAGTGTTCTTAATGAGCATTGAATTTTCTAAAATATTGTTTAAGTAGAGTTTTTCCATCTTATTGTAATATCTTTTGTATGATATGTTGACACTGACTTTGGATAGGAAGTCTAAATTCTTATCATCTCTTCTTACAAACAAAGAATAGTGCTTCCTGTATTGATGTTTAGTTGTTGATTGATTATAGCTTTTGACTTGGGAACAAGTGCCCTTAACCATTTTTTAATTTATTCCTTAATATTGAATTTGTGACCAAATTGGTAGAGGTGGGTGGGGGAAGAGAAAGTATGAAAAATAAGGAAAACTTTCTTCTCTACCTTTTAAAAAATTAACTAGTTATAAAATGAGTAGTTTGAACTAGATGATTATAAATATCCCTAATACCTTTAAAAATTAGTTGAAAACACCCTATTCACCCTTTAATGATAATGAGTCCTTGAGGTTCGGCCTAAGTGAGATCAATGTTATTAAAGAGAAAATAGACTGTATTTAGTATCAGACCTTCTATCAGGTCTTCTCTGTATTAATTAGTATTTGAACCACATTTAATTGCCAATACTATGTTCAACTAAGTGTTTATGAAGCACCAAATATTTCCATCTGCCCCTTGTATTGGCGTGCTCAGGATTTTTTAAATTGAGTTACAAAATTTCATTAGTTATTTTTGTCTTGTAATCATACTCTCAAGCTTTGTTTAAATGTTAATTTTATTAATTACCTCTTTCAAATTTGCAGGAAACTTCCAGACTTACATCTGCAGTCCTGTACCAGCTTTCTAGTTGTCCTTGGGCTTTTCCTCTGGGTTACCCCTGGAGCACATTAAATTCCTCAAAAACACAACTGCTTGTGTTCCCCCAGCTAAATAGCTCATCTTGACTGTTCTCCTTCTGGTAATGATGTTCCTGTTTTTCAGTTAACTATGCTTAAAGCCTGAGTCATCCTTGATTGCTTTCGCCCCCTTAGCCTTCTGCATCCAGCAGGCATAGAATTTCTCGTAACTATCTCCTTACCATCTCCTCCTTTCCTTCAGTTCAGGAGTTTCCCTTTGTTAGACCACTCGCAATGGTCGGTCCCCCGTAGCTCTCCGCCAATTCAGGTTCATAGCAAGCTGTTCATGGCCCTTCAACAATTGGCCCAGATCACCAACATTATCTCCCAATCTGTTCAGCCCCTCAAGTAGCACCTTCTTCAGCCAAAATTAATGCAATGTGCCTCATTCTTTATGCTTCTCCCTGTCTGGAAATATGTTCCCCATCTCTCTTTATGCAAATTCTCTTTAGCTCCTGGAGGCTTCATGGTATGGTGGTTTCTCCTCTCCATGCCTCAGTACCCTGACCCTCACAGATTTCTGGCCTGTCCTCTCTAAGCTGTCAGCATCTCTGGCCCTGTAGAACCTCTCTTTACCATAGGCAGTTAATACTCAAGGAAGATTTATTGATTGAAGTATATACTAGACATATGACTATAACACTTTGTATAGTTTTTTTTTTCAGTTTTTGGATTTTCTTGACAGCATGATTCTTTTTGAACTCAGTTTTTCTTTGACCTGCCATTGCATTCATATGCCCTGCCTAATATATTTCTAAATTGTATATAAATACTTAGCTGAGACAAATGGTAATATAGTAACTGTTCCTTTGATATAAATTAACAAAATGGTCTGTTGATTCTGTTTAAAATGCTTCTCATTTAATCTTACTGTTATTCCTGTAACTTGGTAAAGACATTGAGGGAAGAGTGTGGACATTACATACGTGAAGCATTGAATATATGCAGGATAAAAAGTGTGGGTGGACTTTCTAATTGCAAGCGTAAGTTTGAATAACACTGGAAGTTTCTTTAAATTTTTGAGTCTCAGTTTACTCATCTGTAAAATGAATATTTAAAACTTATTTATCTGTGAAAACTTATTTATCTTAACACTTGCTTATATAATGCATGACACATAGTAGGTCCTTAATCTAAATTGGGGGAATTACCTTGAAGGTTGAGGACCCTTCTCGTATCCTTCTGTGATGACCAAGTGAGAAAACTGAAGTGTCTGATACTCAATAAATAAATGACTTACAGGTTAACTGAATTTTATAGCACATATTTGCACTTTGCTATCTTGGTGTTTTAGGGGCCATCATTTTACCTATATCTGTAAATGCTACTTGTCATTTTACTGCATGTGAAGGCTTTACTTAAGATTGTTTTAGACGAGTTTCTAAAAGTATTTAAAACAAAATATGTAAAACATTAGTAAACTGACTTTTACCAAGTCAGTTGGTAAGGTTGTGATCTGAAAATAGCTAGAGATTGGCTTGCTCAGGTGTTTAAAAGGAATATAAATGTAGAGTGGTTTCATTCTTTGAAAAGGAATAGGGGTGTGTTACCACCTTTAAGTTTTGCTTTGAAAATGGGGTGAGTGCTGTCTTGTTACCTCTGAGGAAACCCTTCAATTTGCTGTTTATGTTGCTCACTTCCAGAAGAGGAAGAGGACAGGGCTCGCGTGAAAGCGGAGGAACAAAGGAAGACGAGCCTGGACAGTGTCCACCCCACAGCAGGTAATGATTGACTTGTGTGGCTTCCTGCGAACACAGGCTTTGGTTTTTTTTTCACTTTCTTGCTGCGCTAAAGACATTTACACAACTCCCTGAAGTTGGCTTCTTGGGTCTGGATATCTTATGGCTGATAAGCTGCTTAGTCCCATTTAGGATGCATGAAAACCACTTGAGAAGGATTTATAAAGTAAGCCAATTTATACAAGGTATTCCTTCCTGAATTACTCTGTAATGACTCAATTAGCTTTCATTTCTGCACAAAGGAGATTTAGTTGCATAAATTAGCTTATCATCATTGAGGAAGTGTCACTGCTAAAGGACAGTTTATAGATACAACATGCAGTTGCTGTCAAACCTATAAGAATGTAATATAGACATCTGTGTATACTTTGTGCTTGAGCAGAACAGACTTCTGCCATTCAGAGACTAACAGGGGACAACAAGTTGCCCAGGGGACTGGCAATGTAGACATCTCTGAAAAGGTCAACTTGACACAGGCTCTGACAATCGACCCACAGCTCTGTCTTCTTTGATAAAAATCAGATAAACTTAAGACCGCTAATTGATCTGCAGCCTGTTTAAATGTTGGCCATGCATATCTTCATTGCATATGATTAACACAGAAAGCAAATGAATTGGGTAAGAAATGCCAGAGTCCAGTGACAGCAGGTTAAAAATTGGAAAAGGACACTGGTGGCCTAGAAGGCGAGGAAGGATATTCCTCTTATCCGTTTCCACTTGGCACATGGCCCCAAGTACTAATTATGACTGAGGCTGGAAAAATAACAACACATGCAGTGCACAGAATCACATGATATGGGCAACTTTTTTCATGTTGTGTGGTTGTTATTTCCAAATAGCAGGAGATAAACATTATCTATAGTGCAAGCTGAGGTTAGTTTTGATAAACCAGCAATTATTTTACATGGAAAGAAGAGGGAGAACTGCATTCTTATCAGGACTTAACACCTCTTCACAGCCACATGTCAGCTGGGGCAAGGTCTGCCATATCATCCCGTGTCCTGCAAAGAGCTGTTGTTGGGGTCACCTTCCCCTCACCAGTCTGTTCATACATCACTCTTTCAAGCTGTCAGAGGCAGGGTGGACAAGAAGTGTGTGTTCAGGAAGTAGCTTTCCAAAGACCTTCCTACTGTGACATGTGGAAAGGAAACAGGGGCCTGATTTCCGGACCTGAACAGGAAAGCAGGAGCAGGTTGCTGCAAAAGGGTTTGGTTTGCTTTTTTCAGAAAGGAAGCGAGGACGAAGTCATTCAGTGTTAACATCCAGTTCTGTAAAATGCAGCTATAAGACACTAGGGATAATGAATCTTTTAGAAAGATGGTCAATAGTAAGTGAAGTATATATGTTTTGCTGTGTATCATAAAACTTGTCTTCTTCCTTTTTCTTCTTTTTAATTTCAGTGCAGGTGTAGAAGGTAGACACAGAGCCCTTCTTTCTGCAAGTATAATTATTTTGGTCTAAAGCAATTATAGTTTTCAAAAACCCTTTTAAAGTAACTATCTCCCAAATTTTTGCCTGTGAGGGAAGGGGAAAAAATCCATTTTCCTCAAAGGAATGCAATAAGTAAATCTAGCTTTACATGCAATAGCTATAAAGCACTGCAATAATTCTTATCTTTAGTGACATGAAATTCTTTTCAAGCAACAGTTTTAATGCTTTTGCATAGCAGTGACCTCTGTTCTCTCTAGACTGTCAAAGATGTAACACTAGAAGTTTGTTTGCAGTGCAGGGCAGTGAGTTGACAGGGTATTACTATCTTGCTGAGCATCACATGACATGAACTTCTAACCTTACTCAAGAATGTTACATATTTTTCACATTGACTGATTTTGCTAAAAAGTGTTTTTCATACTGCTCTAATGTAATATATGTAAGCAAAAACAAAATTTATCTTGTATTAAGTTCTTTCATGTTCTGGCTTATAGATGTCTCATATTTACTGTGTGTATGTATGTGTGCATATATATATATATACACACATATATATATTCTATGTATATATAACAAATGAAGATTCAGTTCAACTTTCAGCAATATAGAATGTTTCTTTCAAAAACAGTTTTCCAGCCTATTGCTCTAATTAGGGAGAGCTCCTCCTTTATCTTATTATTATATATTTATCCAATGTCTTCTTATTTTTTTAATCTTTTATTTTTGTTTAAGTATCTCCAAGCTTTAGTTTATATTTTCACAACAACTCTGTCATCTTTACCCAAAAATCTGTTTATGTATGTATTAAAAAGCAAATACATTGCTTAAATTTTCCACAGACTGATTTTAGAATTTTTTTCCCCTTATCTGCTTTTTTAACTATTCATGCTTCGCATGATACATTTGAGGTGATTTGGGGAGTAATGTGGGAAAAAAGGATCACGGTGTGGACAAAATAGGAAAAAATTAATCCATGGGGAAAAAAAACAACTAAACAGACTTAATTTGTATTCAGAATGTATGCTTCTCTGTGATACTGTTCCCGCTCCTTTTTTCTAAAAAAAATAATAATAAGAGCTCGTCTCACATGGATTATTTCTCAGCATAAGTGAAGGGCATTAACTTTTGTGCGTCTGCTGTCTGTGCTTCGTTTTTGGTGGATGTTTAGCTACACTTAAAATTTTGAAGAGCAAACCAGAGGTGCTTGCTGCTCTCTAAGGAACAAGATAACTCCTAGTTTTTATGTCCCCATTTCATACCAAGAATTTAAGCATTTCCTTCCTGAGAAGACTAAGTCTAATAAACATATGCTGCCAGGGTTTCTCCCTCGTTATGATTATTCTACTTCAAACCAGTATCGTGTGCCTAAATAGACGAGTAAATTGTGTGTGCATGTAGTTGTGTGACACAGACAACTTATTATTCTTTAACAAAGCCCACATATGGGACACGGAAATAGGCTGGTCCTTGGTAATATCATCATCAAGATTATAGAAAGCATAGTTGAAATGCATCTTTTCCCCAGTATTGCCAAATCACTAGCTCTGTTGCCTCTTTACAGCAGTGAGATTTAATGAAATGGTCATGATGCACATCTAGGGAGAGATGCATCTTGCACACGGTGGGGGTCTCTCTTCCCCTCGTGCGCTCCTGTAACTCCCATTAGTGTTAATGGGAGTTTCACCAAGCGCATCGAGGGGAAGAGAGACCCCAAAGTGATAAGGATTATGTGCTGGAATCACCATACACTTTTCTTTTCCTCCTTTCTCACCCCCTACTCTGGCCCGTCTTGAAAATCTATCAAATTTAAAACTATTATGAGAGGATGTGAAAAAGGAAAGTACAGTCTGGACAGCTGGGAACCCTCTGGGACATACTAGTGAAGCCAAAATTTCTACTCCAGTTTTTAGCCCAAGTTCTGTTTCTTCAGTCTTTTTGGATCAGGCCTGGGGCTGAGCAGCATGGGGAACACATAGGAGCCTCCACTTGGGAAACCGGCGATTAGATGTTTTTACCTCCTGGCCAGTGACTGTGGGGGAGGGCCTTGCATGTGAAATGATGTCATCCCCTCTTTGCTCTAATTCCTTGACTTTTAAACTGACACTGACGGACTGCATGGGGCGCAACATTTGACCCATTTAGCAGTTGATTTAATCTGACTTAGAATGTTTCAACTTCTAAATCTCTATTTGTCTAAATAAGTGGTTTTTAAAGGAAATCAGTCACTTTATTATTAAGTAATTTTTTTCTAAGAAAAAAATGACAATGTTTGGCGTGATCTGGCCATCCAGAGTGCCCTCTAGTGTCCATTTGTAGAACTTACTTAATATTGGCTGGGGTTGGGGGAAGTAATGAAGGGTGGCCACAAGCATTGTTAGTTCTTGGTTGGATTCCCATGCTTGTATACATCCCTGCTGGTATCAGTGATAAGCGCTCAGATGCTAGAGTGAAGGACTCAATAAGGTGTGTGTTTCTCTGTTCCCTCTCCCTCCCTCCTCCCTTTCCTCTCCTTCCTCCTCTCCCTCCTTCCCATTCTCTCTTTTTTCCAATTTTCAGAAACTAAGTGGAAAAAAACAATAATAAGAGGCTTTTGCTAGGTTTCTAGTCATCAGTTTTCTTAAAGCAGAAAAGAAAAGTAACCTCTGTACTTCCAAAGTATTCAGACTATTTATTACCCAATTTTTCTTATTTTGGCTTTAAAAACCATTTTGGATCGCAAAAGAAAAAATTTTAAAGTAACACTTTGCATAAATTGTAAAGTACATGACTTGAGACAAACGCCCTAATGACACGCTCATGTGACTAGTTGGGTTGAAGTGCCAAGGAGCCTGCTGTTTGAGAGCCATATAACAAAACCAAGATGACATCCCTGATCCAGCATGTGTCTCTGCAGTTATCCCCTCAGAATTCAGAGATGACATTCCAGTGATGGAAGTTGTCAGCATGTATGTGTTCTGCCTGCTTAGCGAATCCACGGACCTCTTATTGATATTACTTGCATTCTTTTTGTGTTAACTCATCAAAATTCAATTATCATGAAATTAAAAACAGGAAACAGTTCTCAGTGTAACAAAAGCATCCAGTGTGTTTAACTCTGTGCTGTGTTTCAGGAGACCCACATTGTATAAGTGACAAAGCATTTATTACCCAGTTTATTGTGGTATTACAGAGCGGAGAGTGCTAAATAATCAATCAGTTAATGGTCTGTATGGCAGTTTGAGCACATCACATCCATTGTGCTTATGCCTTTAGAAGGATGAGCTGATAACTCCAGTATGTTGCATGTTTATTCAGAGCCTAATGTCCTAAACTGGGGCTGACAGAAATCTTGAAAAATGCCACTTCAACATTGACAGTTTCGAAGTTCCTAAAATATTTTAGAAATGACTTTGAGAGCCTCTGGCTACAGAGTCCCCAAAGAAAGAAACAGGAATTGCCCTTTGGATCATGTCTACTGTATCCTCTTTCTTTAAACAACATTAGATTTTAGAACTTTTTAAAAATGTTGTTCCCTATTCTGGGTTTTTATTTGTACCTTAGCTTCTATAACTATTCCTTTAATGAAGTGATCTCACTGTGTGTTTATCTCATCTCATGGATATTGCTGATTATGCAGGGTGGCTGACTCATCTTCAAAACATGTTGCAAGTGGGGCTTAGGGTCCTTATAAAAAATGAATGGGAAGGAACTTTCAGGCCCTGGTTTGGCGAGAACATGTCGCAATTACAGGTTTCAGGCGAAACCTGAAAAAGGAAAAAGGGGGAGCAGCAAGCATTTAAAATCAGATCTTCTTGAAATGGACCTTCATTAGAATATAGAAAGTAGTATTCTTAAGTAGATGTAATAAAAATGTTCTTTGAATCAGCACAGAATTTTTTTTTTGACTGGTTACTTTAATTTCTGTTTGTTTATTTTAAAATGACGTCCCTTTCCATGAATGCTCTAACTCACATTTTCTCTTCTTTCTTCCTAGGAGACAAAAGCACTGATTATGCTAATTTTTACCAGGGTTTGTGGGACTGCACAGGGTCTCTTGCTGATGAATTATCATTTAAACGTGGTGATGTAATTTATATTCTTAGCAAGGTAAGAAGACACCCCAAATTGACATTGTAAAGGTGCAATACAAAGCCATATCTTTATGTATTTGAATTTTCAACACTGGGGAATATTGCCAATTGAAATTCTTTTAGGTCCTTGTTAACAATTGGGGGTTCAAATAATTAATTATTTTGTCAAGTGAAATATAATCAAATTTTAAACACAATCAGATAACAGGATTCAACTTAACAGTGTGTTTACCTATCACTTTAGCCTTGGCTCGCATCCATATACTGCCTTCTCCAGAAACAATATACTTATGTGAAAGTTAACATTGTAAGGTATTAGGTTATTTAGTATGTTTTTCTTTCCTCTTCCTTTTTATTCTTCTGTGTGCTTATTCTGATTTTGTCTGCCATTCACTACTGGAAACACTGTGTTTATAGAACAAGTTTTTCATCTTTATATAAATACATTGGGTGTTCCGACAATTTAAAAACAATGCTCTTCTATTCAGACAGGTTTAGGTAATTTTTTAAAAGCTTAGCATAACTATATTCATAAACCTAATTGCAAAGTATATTACTCTGAACTCATCTTTATGTAGAAAAATACTACTATCTCTGCTTCCTAAACTACTGGATTATCCAGATCTTTCTGTTCTTAGATCTAAACAGCAAGTTTCTTATTGTGATTATACTTCTGAACTGTGTGAGCTCCCCTAATTCCCATATTTTAACTTTCTCTACTATAACATGGGGATTGAAAATAATCTCCCTCATTCTGCCTTATGAGACTATTTTAGAATCAAATGATGTATGGAAACTATTTAAATACAAGCAAGAAAATATTATATAAATCAGTGTAGGTGTTTAATGTGGTTTCTTGAGAGAAATATTTTGGACTTTTTAGAATGATGATATGACTTGTTGTATACAAAGAGAATTTAGAAATCAGACCACTTCCTGAATTTTAACCCTGGTGACTGGTGCAGCAAATATAACACAGAAAATCCTAGAATGTTTGAATGAGGGGTCTTAGGGATAATCTGTGTCTTCTTGATTTTCCCAATAAGACAACTTGAATGAAGAAAGTGCCAGAGCTGATACTTACCTGGCACCTGGAATCCCAGCCTTATACTTTCTAGTTATTTTTTCCAATGCTTGTATTTATTGGCATCACTCCGTCCCTTCTTTAACTTTAATCTGAAATCTTTGTAAAGTACCGATAATGTGTCAGGGCTCATCTTAAGCAGGGCTCATATTAAGCACCAGGAACCCAAAAGGAGTAAAATACACTAGTATATTATTGGGAGAAATATATTTCATAAGTAAACACAGCAAGCTGATAATTGCTAGTTGAGGTGCCCAAAGTGAAGACCTGTCACTTATTTTTCTCAGAACTTTGCTCACTGGTATGGAGTTTGTTTGTTGAGCTTGGAAGCTGTAGCTAACTACATACAACTCTAGGATTAAACCTATTATTGGACTTTTAATTGTCCCAAGTTTTGAATTTACTACTTAATATAGAAAACAAACAGATTCATTTCAGTTCTTGTCAAGAAACCTTACTCTTCGAAGTTTGTCAGCTCCTAGTTTCTTTCACCACTTTAGTTGCAGTTCTGTATAAAATTGGAAGATTGATAAGCACCCATGGAATTTCAGATTAAAGGGGTAAATGGGATATAGCCATAGTATAACCCTTTGTAAAATATGAAACATGCAAAGCCCATGTGAGTCTGCTCTTAGAAACCTGCTTCATGACTCACATTGTGTTTATTGCCAATAACTTGGGAGACCCAAGCTCCATGCCAGGCTGTGAAACAGCAGCATTCCCACGAGCTCCTCTCATTTCTACCATTGCCTCATAAAAGCATTTCCTGCTAACGTGAAATTAAAAATGCAATCATAGGTGTGTAGCATACTTTTGAGGCTCCCAGGAGAAGTAATTCCTGTTCTCCCAAACCTGTTTTATAGAGGTTGTGATTTTATGTGTGAAATCTGGTCATAGAGCTAAGGTTGGTGGTCTTATTGCTCATAAGGAGAAGACACTGCCCCCTAAATTTCTAAAAGGCTGTGTTTGAGTATAGATGGATCAAAACTGCTTCCTCTATCAGGTTTTTCGCAGGGTCATATGTTACACTTCAGCATTGTTTTGTGGGGGGCACTTTATCTGAAGCTCATTTTGGTTTTTGAAAGAAGAGACCAGGGCCCTCCATGGTGGTGCAACAAGTTAAAGGGCAGCACCATGAAGCTGTCCACAGCCACTGCAGCTTGAGTTCGATTCCCAGCCAGGGAGCTGACCCCCATGGCACATCAGATCTCACCTGACCCCACCCGCTGCTTCCCTCAGCAGTGTATTTCAGTCCATCTGCCTGTTCTGCTGCCCACTCTTTCTCTGGTGAGTCCTCTCACCCCCACACATTTCCCCCCGTTCTGTATGCATAAAAGTAAATAAATCTTTAAGTAAAAAAAAAAAAAAGAAAGAAAGAAGAGACCAGACATTGTTATGGCTGAAGGACTAAAAACCAGACTTACTCACTTGTCCACCTAGTGAATCAGCCAGGTAGATCTTGCTGAGGGTGAAGAAAAAGAACAGAGGACACTTAGCTCTCCCTCGATGCAGTTTGGCCAAGTTTTGTGCCTTGACTGTCTTCGCTGCAGGCTGTCAGATTGCTGTGGGGCTTGGTGTTTGTTTGTGAAGGTCTTACTCCCCTACTTTGCTTTGGGTTAAGTGTGGATAGAACACTCTAGATATTCTCTAGTAATTTTATATTGGCTTAGATTTCTAGTTTTTACTCAAAACTTTAGCAAACACAGGCCATAAATTAATGCTGCAAATTCATGTACTTATGTGAATGATGACAGATTTGAATTTGAATGTAAATACCTGGTATTATTATAAATTCCAAGCACACCTCCCTTTGTAGAAAAGAGGGGAAAAGTGAACAGGAGGGTTTCTAGATCAAGGTAGAGCTAACATTACATATTGATAGGCTTTTAAAGTATAATTAATTTTAAAATCACTAGTGTTATCGTATGTATGCCTAGAAATTTGTTTTATCTTCCTCAGAATCATATTCAGATTCCGTTGGTGATGGAGTGAAATTTTACCATTTTAATTTATTTTTTACACCATCTAGTGGTTCAGAATGAGCGTTGCAGGTTAATTGCAACTAATGTGGACCATCAAGATGGTATCATAAATTCAACTTTAAATCTAGTTAGGGGTTATTACTTTCCTAGCTCATATCAATAAAGTATTAGCATTAATCATGATTTTTTTCATTATTTTGAATTAATGTTAAAAAGATACACATAGAGAAGAATACATCTTCAGGAGTCAAACAATATTAGTAGAGACCTAGAAAATGTTCCCTTTACAAAGAAATGAATGTAATGACTTTTCTAATAAATAAAGCACCATGTAAAAGATTAAAAAGTACAGCTTGTTTTTCATAATGAACTAATCTATAATTTGCTATATTTAATTATCACTTATTTGACTTACCTTCTAGTCGGTTGTTAGTCTTCACTTACTATGAAAAAGACAAAACAAACTAGTTTGAGAAAATATACAGTCTCTTACTATAAATGAACATTTAGACAAATCAAGAAATAAAATGGCATGCATTATAATAAAGAGTATTTTCATTTTGTTAATGTAATGACAAGAAAAAGATTTGACTAGTTTGATAATTGGGCTGTCTGCATTAAAAATTCACTACAGAAGTAATAGTTTTAGCTTAAAATCCAGTCTTCTATTTTTGCAAGAAAAGCTTGATGGAGTTTTAGCTGTTCACTCAGCCTTGGGGTGATTTATTCATTTTAGATGTCCTTTGTGAGTTATAGCAACCTTAGCCTTTTTTAAAAATTTGTAGTGAAAACCAAACAGTAAAGAAGAAAAAGTAAGCAGATATCCTGTCTCTCCCCCCCCTTTTTTTAAACATTTTCCAATTAGCAGTTGTCATGTGACCCCTAAGTTAGCCCCTCCTTCAGAGCATTCAGCATTTTCTCAGTTTTAACCTTTGAACTTCACTAATAATAAATCTAAATGCTGCTCGCCAAATAAGGCAAGCCAGTAACTTCTTGTTCATAGTTCTTTTCATACGGTTTGCTGCTGTTTTTTATGGGTTAAAGTAGAGCACATATATACTTTGGGTATTTAGAAATCTCCTCCTACCCCTTAAAAAAAATGGAGCACATTTAGGGGGCTGGATAAAAGTAGAACTTGTAGTTTTAATGAGAGCTATACTGTTTGTGAATTAGCTCTGAAGCAGCAGGCCTGGTTTCAGATTCACTTGTAATCATATTTAAGGTGGAAAAGTCTTTCATCGTTATTGTTTTAAGGTGTGAGTTTGTTTAGCATTATGCTAAATTCTCCTACTAGTTTGCATTTTAATTTTGTTAGTACTTTAAATGTAGACATAATATCATAGTATAATCCTAGAATGGTGTTTGTGAAATTTTATAATTTTAATTGCAGGATCCAAGTTATATAGCTGGAGGCATAATCCACAGTACTGCATACCTCTTTGGTTATGTTACTCTTGCTGTTCTGGATTTACATCCTTTGTTAGTTTATCTGTCAATCAGTACTCACTGGTAAATTGCTAGCCGCATTCTTATTCTTACTTTTAAAGCAATAAATATTTTGAGAGACTTAATGACTCAAGAGCTATGTGTCAGCAGGAAAGAGACACAATACTGGTCTAGTACTAACAGAAAAAGAAGATAAGAATCCAAGAATATTTTACCTTGTCTAGGATGCATCTGATGTGAGCTTTGTAACTTCTTGAGAAAATTTTAAATCAAAAACAGGGTGTGGAGGTCAACTTTGTTCACTAAGAAACAACACAAGGGCCTATTTTAATGTGTACTAGTTGATGTTTCAAGCCTTGTCTCTCTTTATATCTGTCTGTGACTTGTCTCTCTTTATATCTGTCTGTGAATTGTGACTGTCACTGACCATTTGCTTTTCTTTGTAAAAATATAGACTCAGTTAGTAGGGCTATTTTTGGGGGGGTTGGGACTTTGGGGGGAACT